CTCTTTCCTAATTCTATACACAATACAATCACTTAAAAAATATGAGGAAGAAGAACTCCGAAAAAATATGAGGAAGAAGGAATATATTTCGTTATATTCAAAACTTCTTATCTTACAAGACCAAATGACACTCTTATATAGAGATATTACAAACATCATTATAACCCATTATATGCCACTTACATATTATATATTACCACTATCTACCACTAACATATTATCACATATTCTATACATGCCACTATCTACCACCAACACCACTATCACATATTCTATACATGCCACTATCTACACACACCACTATCATATTATATACATGCCACTATCTATTATTAACACAAATTTCAGCACTCCCCTCACAGATGGTTTGAAGATATCTTCCTAGCTAGCATGCTAGTCAGCTTATCAAATTGCTTCTTGTGTAGTCCCTTCGTTAGCACATCAGCTAATTGTTCACCTGTTGGAAGGTAGGTTCATACAGATTATGCCAGCATTGATTTTCTCCTTGATGAAATGTTTATCTACTTCTATTATGTTTTGTGCGATCATGTAGAACTGGATTATAGAGCTATAGATATAGCTGCTTTGTTGTCACAATAGACCTTCATAGTGTCGAGTGAGAAAGCTTTAATTCTTCAAGAATTCTTTTAATCCACATTACTTCACAGATTCCATGGGCAACAGCTCTGAACTCTGCTTCTGCACTACTTCTAGCTACCACATTCTGTTTTTTACTCGCCATGTAACTAGGTTCCCACCTACAAAGGAGCAGTATCCGGATGTTGAATCTCCTGGATTGTGGTGTAACTATTTGGCTGTATTTCCTTTTTCGTATTTTCCTTTTTCAGTCATAGGTTTAGGGTTATATAAACTAGTGACCTCCTTGTAAAGTAACATAATTGAATATACAGATTCATTCAGAAAACTTACAATCCTCTATATTGATTTTTTGACGCCTGGTGTGGATGTACGAAAAACTACTGATGTGTGTTTGTCTGTGTTTCTATAAGATCAAAATATTTTTTTTTAAAAAAGGCCCAATATTAATTAATGAGTGTCACACAAGGTAATAGTATCACAGATGCCTGCTCATTAAAAATCTAATACATATGTAATTTGACTAAATGATGTTATGTGCTGAATCATCATTTATTTTCTTTTCTTTCTGACTAAATGATATGTAATTTGACTAAATGATGTTGTAATTTGACTAAATGAAGTTGTTTAGTCATTATAATGCCGACTTTTAAAAATTATCAGGTACTGTGAGTGCTTTGCTGCGGGGATTTATTGTGATGCTTGCAACTGCACAAATTGTCACAATAATGTTGAGCATGATGCTGCTAGGCAAGAGGCTGTTGGAGCGACATTAGAGCGTAACCCAAATGCTTTCCAACCAAAGATTGCTAACAGTCCACATAAATCACAGGATGGTAGGGTATGTGGACTGACTCCCTCAATGATGAAACAATTCTATCTAGTTTATGATGTTAATATTAATGTTTTTCTTTGCTCGGTCACTGTTCTTGCGGATTTTAGCAAATCAGCTTAGTGTTAACCCAAGTACTGGTTCTTCACATTATTGAGTATATATAAGAAGTATCATTTGTTTGGATGTCCACTTTCTTTTCTTTTTTTCGAGCTTTGTTTAATATTCAGTGTTACCACTCTGGCGCCCTCAATTTAGCATAATGTCTTTTTTATGTGGTGGTAACTCTTAGGAGCCGGTCACTGAGGTTGGTAATTTAATATCATCTGAAAGTTCATTTTTCACTTCAGCTGCCACTGGTTGAGCTGTTGAAATTTCCTCGTTTACTTATGCATACCACATTGAGTGGAATGATGTCAATCCAAATGGTAATCACCATTTCTATGGAATTTAAATGGGAATTTCATGATAAATTTTGTTTGCAAGTGCTTGGTTTTATAATTGGTTGGGCACTAGCTAGCTTTTTTGGCTTCCACGTGGAACAAAATTTGATACTTTCAGGATGAATTGTTTGTCTTGATAACTCTGGAAATTCACTATTTTTACTCGTACAGTTGTGATCTTATCAGATTAAGTGTTTACTGAGGAAGCCAGAATATGTACGTGAATTAGGAACTAGTTGAAGAGGATATAATTATTGGCATATACATATGTCCATTATAAATACAACAGATTTAATCCATCATGTATCGCTTAACGTAATTGGAAAAAACTTTACAAATGTTTTTCTTTTATTTTATTTATAAAAAAAATTAAATCCCTCTTAGAAAGGAAAAAAAAGAAGAGAAGAAGTTTATTTTAGAAAATTTAGCAAGAATGAATGGTTTTTGGATAAACCAAATGCACAAACCTGGTTGCTTTTTAAGTTGATTATTGGGCATGTTTAAATACCACAGTCCAACTCCTGCCATTGCAAGTAACAAGATTTCATTGCAAGTAACAAGATTTATGCTGCCATCACCTAGTGTCTGTTTGTTGAACCATTACATTCATCATGATCACCATTAATGTAAAAATAAAATATGAATGGCTACCATTTCCATGATTCATGTTATTATTGCACACTGAAATTGGTAGAGCTACCTGCTACTAGATATCCATCACGTTTAGTGGGTCACTACGTTACTTATTTTGTACAATGTTAAGTATTGACTAGTGAGCATTTTCTTTTTAAGAAAAATTATGAAATGTGAAAGATTTGAAATGTTGCTAATAATAAAGCTCTCTCTCTCTCTCAAGTATAGTTAGTAATTTATATCCTCTATGATGAACTTTTCCTTTGAATGGATGGGTCTCAGTGTTAAATGTTAGCCTGTTTATTCTTGTATGTGTCCAAAATTTCTCACTGTGGCACAAGTCCTTTTTATTTCTCTTTGGTCAAAACATTAGGCTTCTATAAAAGGGATTTTGTTTTGTTTCATTGTTTATTGAAATTTGATAATTCCTTCTGTAAGATTTGATGTATTGAGAAATAGAGAGAATGAATTATGTATTGATTGATTATTGATTGATATATATTGTTGATGTATTACAACTCCTATATATAGAAGAGAAGATGGTAGTAGGTGTAGGTGGTAGTGGAGGTGGTAGGTGGAGTGTTATAATATTAAAAAATGTTCACTAAAAAAATACAGATTAAAAATTAAAAATTCATTATTGAAAACTCCATACTAAACAAGGTAATATTTTCTATTAATTTTCAAAATTAATAAATTATTATTAATTTTTCGTTTGTTTTTTTTCTCACAAAAAAAAAGCTACATTAATTATCTTTTTTTTTTCTTTTTTCTTTTTTGTGGTTTTAGGTTAAAACATCAAACAAAGAGTTTAAGACATAAAAGCGAGAGACCCAGAAACTGCCAATAGAGACAGAGGGCCAGGGGACAGAGACAAAGTGTCGTGGAAGGGCTAGACAACCAGAGGAACTGTCGTAATAGCCAGAGTGACTACCGTTGAAGGGGAAGAGCCTTGGAGGACTACCGACAGGGGCTCTGGAGTTAATAGGACCTTGCGACACAGCCTACAAAGCCAGGGAGGGCTCTCGACAGACCACTAGAAGACGAGAGGGGGGCTGCCAAGGCCTAGGTAGAGGGTGTCAGGAGACTTGGGTGAGTAAGAGAGGCTAGGTGAAGGGTTTTTGTGGCTGGGTGCTCGGTTTTGATGGCTCAGAGAATGCTAGATAAGAAAGAGGCTAGAATAGGATGGCTAGGGTCTGTGTGGCTCTGATACCATGAAGATTTAGAGAAGAGAAAGTGATAGGGAATAGGTTAGACCTCATCCCCTTTTATATTGATAATACTGAGTAATTACAAGAGTGCCATAAGGCATAAATTATAGGCCAACCCATTACATCCATAAAGGGAAAAATAAATATAGAAAGAATAAAATATAACAAAATATTATTTCCTATTCTAACAGTATCAATCTCCATGTGTTGGGCATGCTCACTCTCCTGCACAGCATGGCCTCTTCTCCATGGTCATGCTCGAACCCATTGACTAGGTCAAGTAGCTCTACAACCACGTACACATCTAAGATGTATACTCCACCAAAGGACACCCAACCTAGATTAAAAACAGAACCTAGGAACCCTTTAAGGTTGGTGCTTCGGTCATGATTCATGAGGAGCCTGAGCAACCCCATGACCCTTGCTAGGGATCCCTTGAGAACTTGTGGATTGGAGGCTAGAGTCCAGATTTTATCAAGGTGACTAATCTTAAAAAGAGAGAGGCCTCCACTGGAAGACATGCTTGGTATGGATTCAGAGAAGTCTGGCTCCTCACTGCCAAACATACCCACCACCTATTGCACCCACTGCAACTCCCTGATTGTCTTTGATGTAACATACCTACCTATTGCCACCCCATGATATGATCCCGAGGTCTTGTCATGGGTGTGGTTAGTAGTAATTGAGAAACTTCTGGATTGTCAAACCAAGGGGATAGTCACATGTCCTTGAGTATGGATGAGTTGCCTCCCATGGTTTGACCCTCTGGGAAAGTAGACCACCTCCATGCATGCAGCACCGCATCCAACAAACTTAGGAGCTCTCTAAAGCTATTTTCTCTCCTTCAAAGACTACATCCACTCTCACCTCCCCCACCTCTGTTGGTCTCGTGCAAGCTCAATGTGTCTACCATCTTCCCAGAAGGCTATGTATCGGCTTAATCACCTCCAACTGTCCACACCATATATCCCACAAAATTTCTAGAATGAGATTCTTTCTTTGTTACACGTCTCTTATAATACTGCCTATAAAAAGCCAACTATAAATGATGGTAATATCATGGTTACCCATGAGAAGGCCAATTTGTTTTGCAGATCCCAAACCCAATTGAATTTTCCATAAGAAGATGTCTACTGATTAAGCTTGCAAATTTTTATTTTTTATTTTTTTTTTCCCTAGTGCTTAAACAATGAACATGATCTTAACCAATCATGGTCTCTCAATGACTGAAGCAAACAAGCAGTCATACTACCTATGCAATTGAATTTGAGTAGACAGCTTATGCAGTTGGTTGGCCATACATTTATGCAAGGGTAGCTAGATTCTTTACTGTATCTGTAAGTATTGAATCAGCTATGCACAGCTTCTTGTATTTTGTATCTTTGCCTTACATATCCCTTATCACTCATTGCTGAACTAAATGATGCATGGATGCAAAATAAAAAATGCTCAATAATCTCACGTTCTTTTGTTTGGATATTAGTAATGTAAGTATTATCTTTTTTTTTTTTTTTTTTTTTTTGTTTTTAAAACTTTCTTTGGCAAAAGGGGAAGAGTGACTCAGTGGCGGCAGAAGAAAAAGAAAAAGAGGATGGGGTTGGGCAAAAGTTGACATAGTGGGAGCTTGGGGGAAGAGAAAATAATAAACATATGCAGATAGATATAGTAAAATAAAAGAAAGGTAAGGGAAGCATCAGTGCCGAGCATGACCAGTGAGGGCCACGACGGGGACGCTGGCGAGCATGGCGTCGGTGAGGCCGCTGACTAGGTGGGTAGCGGCGGGGCCGGAGGTGGCGATGCAGACGCTGGGGAGGCCGGAGGCGCGTGCGTAGCCCTCGGCGGCGAAGAGGCCGCCTTGCTCGTGGCGGGGGAGGACGTTGCGGATGTGGATCTGTAGATGGCTGAGAGACTGATGAGAGTTGAAATTGTACAGAAAAGGCTTAGATCCAGAGTAGTCTACGTCGTAGCAAGGTAGACCTTCCACCAATGAAGGCGGTTGTTGAATGTTCTTGATCTGCACCGGAACAACTCCATCGGCGGGAGAGATGTATTGCTGCTGCTGATGAGGCCATGATGTCGAGATCCAGATACGGATCAATATCAGCGAACAGATATTCTGAAGACTTGAGATCAGTACTGTCGTCGACGATCTTATGGTTCGGATTCGGAAGCAGCCACGACGCAGAGAGAGGCGGCGTCGGCCTGGCAGGTGAACTCGAGGAGTGATCATAAGTTTGATCTGATGTATGCGAAGAGGGCTTTTGTGCACTGGTATGTGTAGAAAATTTAAGCGGAATAGGTTGAGGTCCGGCGGACGGTCAAGGCAAGGTTGCCGCCCGCCGGAGGACGAAGAACACCAAGAGTTTAACCTATAGCTCTGATACCATGTAAGATAAATTGATCACACATCAAATCAATCACTTTTTCCAAAACTCTATCTCAAAATAATTTTCCAAAACATCTTTTAAAAAAAACCAAACCAAACATGTTTTCGTACTTTTTATCTCTAAAACACATCTCTCAAACACAAACCAAACATACCCCAAGATCTTTAACCTATAGCTCTGATACCATGTAAGATTTGATGTATTGAGAAATAGAGAGAATGAATTATGTATTGATTGATTATTGATTGATATATATTGTTGATGTGTTACAACTCCTATATATAGAAGAGAAGATGGTAGTAGGTGTAGGTGTAGGTGTAGGTGGTAGTGGAGGTGGTAGGTGGTAGGTGGAGTGGGTGGTAGTGGAGGTGGTAGGTGGAGTGAGTGGTAGTGGTAATTTACATTTACACAATTTACATTAACACCTTGGTTAACATCTGTATTTTATTTTTTAAACATCAATCTTTCTCAGTAAGAATGACACGTAGTTGAACTCACAAAACTAATGCAGGAAGAGGCAAGGGAGGTTACAGCAATGGCAATACACAACAAAGGATGTAACTGTAAAAAATCAGGGTGTCTCAAGAAGTATTGCGAGTGCTTTCAGGCCAACGTTCTGTGTTCTGAAAATTGTAAATGCATGGACTGCAAAAACTTTGAAGAAAATGAAGAGAGAAAGGCTCTTTTCCATGGGGACCATGCTAATTTTATGTCTTACATTCAACAGGCAGCCAACGCAGCAATTAACGGGGCCATTGGGACTTCACATCTTGGTACCCTTCCAGCATTAAAGAAGAGAAAAAATCAGAAACTTTTTTTCGGTGGAACAGCCAGCGATCAATCTATTCATAGGATTACACAGTTTCAACAGGTTCATCTTTCTAAGATTTCTAAATATAGCAATGTCATGTCTGGTTTTTCATTATAGAAAACTGACTGGTTGATCCTAGTAAACATTTACCTTTACATCTAATTTAGATTTTTCTTTTCATTTTCTAAGTTGATTGTTTTTTAAGTTAAATGTTAATGTAGTGCTATACCCGTTGGTGCAAATTATTTATGTAATTCTATTTCTCCTTGAATGGACACAACTTATTTGCAATTCTATTTTAGGTGGCAAAGTGATGTAGCTTGACTTTACTCTTTTGTTTGGTTGGACGTTTAAGAAAATTCCTTGAACCTTGCAACTTCAAATAAGATTTCAAATACGCTTTTGTTTTCCTCCATCTTCATTAGCTAAGAAACTTAGTATTTGATTGCTATTATTTCACTCAGGAAAACCGTTTAAGAGCTCCTGCTACCTCATCTTCACTGTTATCAGCTCCTGGTTCTTGCACTATTTCAGCATCATCTATGGGATCTTCCAAATTGATATACAGGTATGTATTGCCTGAAGTTATATGGTTTAGGTAATGCTTCATATTTGTGATGTTCTGATGTTCTTGTATGTAGCAAGAAATTACTCCACTTTTTGTGCAATTATACTGTGCCTATTGAATGAAAGCTTGCCTTTTTGGCTTTCAAGAACTAGGTAGTACTGCTGTGTATGTTTGCAGGTCTCCGTTAGCAGACGTTCTTCAATCACAGGACGTAAAGGAGCTCTGCTCACTTTTGGTCATAGTTTCTGCAGAAGCTACGAAGGCCCTTGCAGGTCAACACACATTATGCAAGCTTGTTTTGCATCTCAGATTTTATCTATAGCTATAGCTAGAGTAAAAATGGCTATTGTCTTCTTCTTCTTTTACTTCTTCTTCCTTCTTTCTCTGTTTTAAGTGTGCATTAACATGGCCATTTTGCTCACTGCCTAAAACTCTTATTGGCGGTGGGAGATTTGTCTTGGTTTATTATCAATTCTTTTTTCTCTGTTTTAAATGTGCATTAACATGGCCATTTTGATGACTGCCTAAATTAATACCTTCAGTATTAGAAAACTCTTAATGGTAGTGGGAGATTTGGTCTTGGTTTATAATCAAATTTGCTTACCTAACTTGTATTGATATCTTTTATTTTCTATTTTTAATTTTTACACATTGATATGATGTCAATCACATATATGCTGCAAAAGGTCTCTCCATGATGATCTGTATTTTGCTTCTCTTTATTTTTTGTTTTCCTGAAGTTTATTTTATTACAAGAAATATGACAGATATGTTCTGTATGCTCTCATCGAGCACAAGGTTTGTTTTTTGAACTTTTCAGTTTGATTATTTCAGAAAAAAATGGCAAAATGGATAAAAAGGGAGATCAGCTTGAAAGTTCTCTTGTTTCTTCTGATCAAGAGAAACATAGCAAAGTAGAAGATAATGTGCAAACATCTATTCCCGATGATTGTTTGAGCGGGGACCAAGTAGACACAGCAGGCAATTCTGGATCAGATGGAAGTGATGCACAAACTGGAAGGCCACCGTCTCCTTCAACACTTGCGCTGATGTGTGATGAACAAGACACAATGGTCATGGCAACTGGGTCTCCCGATGCTGCTGCAAGTAATGGAAGCTTGACTAATCAGTCATCGCAAGGGCAGATCTTCACAGAGCTTTATGCTGAGCAGGAAAGGATTGTCTTGACAAAGTTCTGGAATTTTCTCAACAGGCTCATCAGTTGTGGAAGCATTAAAGGTAAGGGTCTTCTGCTATTCCTTTTGGTATATTTTGTGTAAAAAACTTTTTGACTTGTTTCTACTATAGAATATCATGACACTTTGGGTTTCCTTTAGATTTTTGGAAATATTGGCGTTTTGTTTGTTTAGGTGGAAAACATTTTCTGGCATTTTGTACGATGGAAAACATTTTCCATGGTCAATGGAAAACAAGCTTATTTGGGTGGAAACGTGGAACAAGTTTTCCAGCCTAAAGTCTTACCAATGCCACCATACTTCTGCTGCCGCTGCCACCTCCACCTCAAGCATGATACCATCTCACCACCACCACTAATACTACTAGTAGAAAACTTTTCTACGGAAAACATTGTTTGAAAGAAGTTTTCTGTAGAAAATGTTTTCATATTAGAAAATGTTTTCCATTGAAACAAACAAAATGGGAGTGTTGAAAACATGTTTCATGAAACTTGCAAACACCAGTTTGTTTTGTACTTCTTCATTCATTTTTATGAATATTAACTTTGACACCTGCAACTTCGTAAAAAAATTGTTGTTCACATTTGCAGAAGCCATGTGTTCTCCATCACCAAAAATCAAATTAGGCATTCAACAAGAACCAGAGAATTGCGTCACGACTACAAAAACTGAAACTAGTCACAAGGAACTCGATGGCACGAGCATAGTAAAATCTGTTGATCAGGTTGTTGCCAAAATGTCATAGGCCGGTAGTACAGTCCTTTTTAGTACAGTCCCGAGGGCACGGCATACAAATGGAGAGATACAACCAGAGATCAAGAAACAGATGTAATAAGACAGATAAGTAATTCAGAAAATGTTCTCTGTCTCTGCAATGTTTACTGTAATAATATAATCTAGGGTCCCATTGTAGATCGAAGAATAAATCACAACAGACCCTTCATTAATATTGTAAGATCATTAATGTATTTATGGTTCACTTGAAGCGTTTTTCTCAGCTTCATCTTTGTCTTTGTCCTGGTATGGTGCAAATGCAATTCATTTCAAATTTCTCAAATTTGCCCCTCTGAGATTTCTACAGATTTGTCTTGTTTTCAAACGAAGGTGGGATTAGTGAACTGGATAACATGGGGAATATGATAATTTTATTTATTTTTTATTTGGTAACCAAATTATGAACTGGTATTGTCCCTTATATACATGCCAAGGAAATTGATTTTTGATTATTCTTTCATTTTTTTGTTTTTTTTTTTTCGGAACGATGACATTTTACCTACTTGTAGTTTATCATGAAAACACGAGCCTGTTTAGGAATTGATTTTTTTAATAATTTTTTAACTTTTAAAAAAAAAAGTGTAAAAAAATATTTCATTACTATAGTGATTTGTTTGGGATGTCCCATTGAGGCTAAAATAGTCATATAAAATAAAATAAGTTATTTTAGTTAGATAGAACAAAATATCACATCTAATCTATAATCATTTCATTTTTTCTATCACAAAAGTCAAAAAAATCAAAAAGTCTATCCCAAACGAGGCTTTTTAGTCGTAGGTTAAAATAGTTAAAAAGTCAAAAAATCAACTCACATTCCAAATGAGTTCTTAATTTTTTAACTAACATTCAATTCCCAAACATAGCCTAATTATGTACCTATAACCCCAGTGAAATCTGAAACATCATATTGTAGAACTTGTTAATATTATTACAAAAATATATGACATTATTACAAACTGTATAATTTTATTTATGAATTATAAATTGTCGTAATCTATTAAAAAAAGGGTCAGCTTGTCTCCAGTCCATAAAGTGGATTGAACGGTGTTGTTGGGTTAGTGGGGTCAACTACGGGTTCTATTTCAATGTTTCGAACCATTCAATGTATAGAATTCGTCGAGTATTTTATCTCTGTAAGAAATCACATTGATCGGATATCAATAACTATTTGATCGGATCAGATTTTTGTTAACAATTCATTTTGAAAATTATATTTACAATTGACAGAAATAGGATATCGATAATCTAATTCGATCAAGTAACTATCGAATATCCAATCAACGTAATTTTTTACAAGAATAAAGAACTCGACGAGTTTTATATATTGAACGGTTCAAATCATTGAAATGTGAGTTTTCATAAGCCTAGCAACACGCTCTAATCTAATCACAGATTAAAAAGAGGCTAGTCCTAAAAAAAATTACATAATAGGGGGATGCACACCCTTAGAATTTCCACCCAGAAAGAAAAGGCTTAAGTTCGGACTTTAGATTCATTAAAGTTGATTTTTAGTAGTAATGAGCAAGTCTTATTTTAATTTATTTTAGTGGGTGAGTTATTATTTTTTTTAGTAGTAATGGGACCCATCATCACCTACCTTGTACCGTGGCCTGTCATTGCTTATTCATATCTTTTCACCATGATAAACAAAGAACAAGCCTGCATGTGAATATTAGTTCCCTTCGTTCCAAGATAACATACATATATTTTTTTATATAGTCGAATGTCCAAATCAATTTAAGTATATTTTAACTAATCTTAAAATTTACATAAAACTCTTATTGGACAAATTTTGAATAGAGGCACAAACATAAAGAAAAATGTTTAATAACTTGAATTTGTATAATCTGAATGCTTCGAATTAATTAAAACGACGTCATTTTACTTTTAAAACGGTATTCCAGACTTGTTTTGAGATATTCTAGCCATTGGAAGTATTAAACCGGTGAGTTGGAACTAGATGATGATGATGATAATTGTTCCTGTGCGGACGACAGTCATAGTCTTCTCAGTGGTAATGACGCACGTTTCTCGTCACGTCCTTACCCTGACCCCACCACACACTTGCACCGTGCGAACGTACCAGCCACAAAGCAATGCCTATAAAAACTACTACTACCGATCACAGCTCACCAAAGAAGATCGGAGAGTGGATGCAATCGATGCCGCCAAGCTTCGGTCCGAGTTCCTTCATGTTCTTCGCGCTCAACGATCTTCTCAAGGTGCGAATTGCAATTCTCTTGATCTCTGTTTTGACATTTTTAGCTCAAATTGTGAAAGCTAGGTGTTGATGGATTGTGTAGACCTTGTTTTTCCTCGTTTAAATTTCCTTTTCAAATATGGAAAATGTTAATAGAATATTCAAATTTGATTAAACACTCCTCAATGCTCCATATCGTATCAACCTTTAATCAAATCTGTACTCTCAGAGAGAGAGAGAGAGAGTGTGTGTGTGTGTGTGATGAAATGAGAGTCAAACTATAGCGATATATAATTTCATGCCTGTTCTTACATTTAATGTGGTTTTTTGAAGCGTATAGAGAGGGAAGATCTGCGTTTATTCGTATTATTTTAATTTTATCTTGTACGGTTCTAAATTATGCCTGTTTTACACAATCAAATACTTTATGGCAATTTCTTGTTAGTTATAACTGATTTCTAAAAGGAAGGCTTAACTTTTTGTGATTCTCAAGTGCCCTGGTTTCTAATCATATTTTAAGATTATTGTATTATTTATATGTTTGATTTCAAGAAATTTTGTGAACTATTTGTTTGGTACTAGTTTTTGTGTTTCCAATAAAATGTAAGTTGTTGTTAACAAGTGCATGCTTCAAATGTTTGTATAATTATTTTAAATTTGGTTAACTGTTGCCCATAGATCACTGTTAACAAAAACCTAAAAGGGCTGTTTGATTAGGATGATTAATAGTAGAATTGATTGTTCAGCTGAATTAGTGAGATATCTAATGTGACACCTGAGTTTTTTGCTCTGCTCGAGCGAAGCTTTTCTCGCTCGAGCGTAGATCTTTAGCTCCCAGTAAATGGCAATATTGCAAGCGGGCCGTTTGAGCAAAGGAATTGTCGCTCGAGCGTAGATTGCATGCTCCCAGTCAAGGTTCTGAAAAGCGGTTATGGTCGCCGTAACGGTGGCGGTGGCGCTGTTGTGGGTGCGGGGTGTAAAGGCCTTAGCGTAACGATTGCGGTAACCGGAACCGTGAATTTTTTTATTTTTCACACAATTTGAAAAAAACTTACCGATATGCATATTTTTTTTCCATGATCATATTTATTGGGTTTAAAATAAATATTGATCAATTTTTATAAATTTTTAAGTATTATCCAATATATTTCATATTTTTAAATCACTACAAACTGAGTTTTTTATATTTTATTTTAATAATTAATAACTTTATATTATACAAAAAATCAATCACTAACTATTATATATAAGATAAACAATGACAAAAGTAAGAGAATAAACAAGAGCCTAAATATATATGTATACATATTTTAACAAAGTCAAATAGATAATGACCACACTTATTATTATTATTATTATTATCAAACAATATATACATAAATAAAATGGTTGAGTGATAGCAGTTAAATAGAATAACATAGGTCTTATGGCTTCAACAAATCAATAACATGTTCTTTATCTTCCCTCTTCTCTCTCTCTATCTCTTGCTCCTCTAGTTTCTTTCTTTATCTTCCCTCTTCTCTCTCTCCCTCTTCCCCCCATTTTCAGCTTTTTTTTGTGTGTTTTTTCGAAAGAAACAGTTTGGAACCGTTATGTAACGGTGCGTAACAGGCTGTTACGGCACCGTTACGACCGCTATGGCAGCCGCTACGGCCGACACACTTGTGAATCTCAATCACATTGCAAAAGCGGCCATAACGGGTGGCGGTAACCACCAAAACCGTTACGTAACGGCATTACGTAACGGTTGCGGCCGCTTTTTAAAACCTTGCTCCCAGTAGTTTCACTGTAACTCTGCAAAACTTCTAGGACATGTTATTTTCCGTTTGAGCGAAGGAAGCTGCGCTCGAGCAAGATCACTAATTCGTGCCTTACACTCGAGCGACAAAACTTGCGCTCGAGCGACCTGTCGGGAACAGCAAATTTTAAATAGCAACTCCAAGTCATTTTCTTTACACTTTTTCTTTCTCTCACCCTCCAACTCACTTTTTTCTCAAAACCCTAGCTCACCAAAACCATATAATTCCCCAATCTTGGTTTGAGATCCATCCAAGATTCCTCATGATTAGTTTAAAGAAGAGCTAGATTGTCACTTTCGCCAATTGTTTCATTTGATCTTCGAAGTACAAGTGTGGATTGCAACCCTAGCATACCAACTCGAGGCAGGGGTGTCTTTTAACTCTTTATATCTTCAATTTGAGTATCTTATGTGGTAATCTCATTAACTAATCATGTATATATATATGTATATATGTATGTATTGATTTGAGCTGTTGACTAAAGATTGAGAACAAGGAGGGTGAAATTTTGTGATTGTTGAAGGAATTACACTTATTATGATGGAATATCATTGTTTATGATTGATAATTGCCTCAATTTAATAATGGAGAGAAAAACCCCAATTTTTCTCAAACCCTAATTTTTTTCAAACTTAATTTATAAAAAGGGGTTTACTCAATTAATTTCTAAACTATGCAATTGAGTGTAATTGCTTGGTTTTGGGTTTGAAATGCAAGTTTGGAGGTTTCCTTTTTATGTTGAACTTGAGATGAGATGATGAATGATAATGGGAATGCCTTGATTTATGAAATGGGAAGAGTTGCACTATTATGAATTGATATCATCTTAGGAAAGTTGTTCATTCTTTACAAATTCATGCCTCACATGCATTGTGCATTTCTTTTGGTATTACCTTGGTGCCAACGGGTGAAAGTTAAGAATGGTGGTAATTAGCCTATGAGTCCGAGTAGTGAGTCAGGTTGGATTTGAGTTGTGTATTGTATTTGGTACCCGCGCGGGGAGTCAAGGTGCCCAATTGCCCTGTTTGCGCAGATCGCCGGACGAATGTGGGAAAAGGTTTTGGGGTGTCCACGAGCCAACCGTTTCTAGAGCCGGCAAATGTGGAAAGCAGATGATTTTGGGTGTCCACGTCCCTGCCGTTTACGGAGCCGGCAAATGTGGAAGGTTGTGATGTTTTGGGTGCCCATCGCCCCGCTGTTTCTGGAGTTGGCAAATGTGGGATTATTTTCTATATATGACTATAACAATCTATGTATGTTTGATCTTGGGCTCTCACCTGTGGATGTCATGGCTGAGTTACCGCCTGTGGAGAATGTGGGAAAGATGAGATTTATGTACAAGGTTTTAAAAAGCGGCCGCAATCGTTACATAATGCCGTTACGTAACGGTTTTGGTGGTTACCGCCATTCGTTATGGCCGCTTTTGCAGTGTGATTGAGATTCATAGGTGTGTCGGCCGTAGCAGCTGTCGTAGCGGTCGTAACGGTGCCACAACAGCCTGTTACGCACCGTTATGTAACGGTTCCAAACTGTTTCTTTTGAAAAAACACACAAAAAAAGGCTGAAAATGGGGGGAAGAGGGAGAGAGAGAAGAGGGAAGATAAAGAGAGAAACTAAAGGAGCAAGAGATAGAGAGAGAGAAGAGGGAATATAAAGAACATGTTATTGATTTGTTGAAGCCGTAAGACTTATGCTATTCTATTCAACTGCTATCACTCAACCATTTTGTTTGTGTGTGTCTATCTATATATTGTTTGATAATAATAATAATAATCATAATAATAATAATAATAAGTGTGGTCATTATCTATTTGGCTTGATTAAAATATGTATATATATATATATTTAGGCGCTTATTTATTCTCTTACTTTTGTCATTGTTTTTCTTATATATAATAGTTAGTGATTGATTTTTTGTATAATATAAAGTTATTAATTATTAAAATAAAATGTAAAAAACTCAGTTTATAGTGATTTAAAAATATGAAATATATTGAATCATACTTAAAAATTTATAAAAATTGATCAATATTTATTTTAAACCCAATAAATATGATCATGGAAAAAAAATATGCATATTGGTAAGTTTTTTTCAAATTGTGTGAAAAATAAAAAAATTCACAGTTCCGGTTACCGCAACCGTTACGCTAAGGCCTTTACACCCCGTACCTGCACCCGTACTGTTACGGCGACCGCAACCGCTTTTCAGAACCTTGGATATGTACAATGCATTGCATCATAACAATAGCACGCTCCGGCATTGTTTTACCTTCTTTTCATACATTCCCGTGAATGGCATTGCATGATACATAAGTTTTTCAAATAATTATATAATTTGTTAAATGCATCACCTATTGAGCTTATTCTCACCCCAAAAACTAACAATTTTCCGGAATTGAGGACAAGACACCTCTCAAGCAATGATGCCAATAGAGCTAGCATGTTTTGTTTTGGGGCCGGGGTGATGATGATTGTGTTTTTTTTTTTTTTTTTAAAAAGAAAAATAACTGATTGTATTTTTTTATCTAACTTGTTTGGATGGATGACAAAGTAAAATATGTGCTTGCGGGGGCTGTTAAAATTTACCATCATCTACCACCAATTTACCATCACCTACTCCTCACCTACTACACTCACCTACCACCACCATCCACTACACCTACATCTATATAAGGAACCATTTGTAATAGACAGATATATAAGATATATAACAATACATCAATCAATAATACAATTCTCTATTTCTCTTTATACATTAAATTTTTACAAAAGATGCCCTTTGGATTACTAGTGTTAACTACTTACCTCTTTTCTTTGAACTGTTTTTAATGTTTTGAGGATTGTAATGGAGCAATTATGTAAACTTTCATTTGGGAATAGTTCAAAAGGAAAGAAAGCTATGAGTAAATGGTTCTATTGTTTTATTTTGCCTGGATCTCGTATGTTGATAATACTTGGAAGTGCAATTGTATGAAACAGGTCTTTCAGGGCGTCACATATAATTCCCTTTTGTTCATGTTTGTTTTGCAATAGACATGGAAATATATAAAAAAAAATTATAAAAAAAAAAAAAATCAGTCAATTTTGTTAGATAGAATGACCATGGTAATCTAATCTGAATAATAAAATTTGCAACCAAACAATAGAATATGAGTCCTATGATTAATAATTCGAATTTTATGCCATAATCTGCCCCATCAAACACGCCCAAAATGTATAATGTTTCCATTGATAGGTAAAACACAATTCTCTCTCTTACCTATAATATGTTTGATTAATCTATTCTTCTTCTTCTTCTTCTTCTTCTTCTTCTTCTTCTTCTTCTTCTTCTTTTTTGGTTTTTGGACTTTTCAGTTCCGCTATCTGTGGAATTTAGAAAACCTGTGGCAAATCCTCTGTACCAGGAAACTCCGCGGCCAAACTTCAGTGAGGTTGAAATCAAGTTGAGGATCTTTATCTTACCTGTTGGAAGTTGATGCAACCATTCTAATTTACATTGTCTGAAATTTAAACAGGCCATGGAGTCTTGTCCGAAGGCAGACATTCCCAATCTTAAGGATCTACTTAAGGAGGAAAACTTTTACTTGATGACCGAGGTGTGTGGACTTTTGCATGCTGATCATGTTTCTCTGCTGTTGCAATTAGCATAGATAGCATGGATTAATAATGAAAATATTGAATCTTTACACAAAAATGTTACATGGTTTGGAAAGTTTCTCATGTCCAAACACTACCATTTAATGAGTTTTTTATTAGAGGTTTCTCCAGTAAACTTCAATTCTTTATACCTGCACATATGCTGATTTTGAGCATGAAAGGGACTTATTGTAATCGTAAGTAGTCAGGAGAGCAAGGACGCTTGCCTGTGCTGATTTTGAGCATGAAGGAAAGCAAACATCAAAGGCGGCCAGCCGTTGTTTTTCTACATAGCTCCTATAAGTGCAAAGAGTGGTTACGGCCATTGCTCAAGGTAGCTACTTTGTGTTGCGCTGACCCCTCGGTCTTCATCAGTTTGATTTTGTAAGCACCAGAGATTGTCTTATATCTTTTATTTGTTTCAGGCATATGCTTCACGGGGTTATGTTGCTGTTGCCATTGATTCTCGTTACCATGGGGAACGTGCTAACAGTAAAACCACCTACCAAGATGTGTGTATTTCATCCTCGTGTTTTGCATAACTATGCCTTATGGATGAGTTACATATCGTATTAGTATATGGACCCACTTGCTTCAATGATGAGTGACATATCGTAGATTGAGAAAATCATGCTTGTCTCTAATATGATTTTGCTATTATCATGCAGGCTCTTGTATCATCATGGAAAAAAGGTGACACAATGCCATTCATATTTGATACGGTAATTCCTTCGTTTATTTTCTGTCCAATATCCTTCCGCATTCTTTCGAACTTAGAACGAATAATAATCTGGGTTTAATTCTTCAATTCATATTGCTCATTGATTAATTCCATGGAATGCTTTTCAATCATGCAGGTCTGGGACTTAATAAAACTGGCAGATTATCTTACACATAGAAAGGATATAGACCCATCTAAGATAGGAATCACTGGTGAATCACTTGGAGGTTAGATGAATAACATATAAAAGGGTGAAAATGGGATTTTCATAGTTGCCATAATATTCAGAACTCATAGAGGAATTCTGAAATCGCAGGAATGCCATGCCGATGGTTTTGGCTTTTGCTGAGACCCGCTATGCGGTGGCTGCTCCTATAATTGGGGTTCAGGTTTGGCTAATATAAAGTTTTATTTTATGTGATAGCATCTAATTGTGTATTTCTTAAATCCTTGTATTGGAAACTCAAATTGAATATTTTGCTGTTTATGCTTTACGCAAAATTGTCAAAGGGATTTCGATGGGCTATAGACCATAATAAGTGGCAGGGCCGGGTTGACAGTATCAAGGCTGTATTTGAAGGTGAGACACAGAAAAATGAATTAAAAATCAGAAATGAATTAGTACATAATGAGGAGTGCCTTTATTGACACCTTTATGTAATTATTCCTACTTCGGCCTAGCATCAGTAATTTTAACCACAAAGCTTGTTTCTATGGAGGCTTCACTAAATAAAGTTTTTATTAACACTTTGATGTTGTTAATGGTTGGAGCACTTGATGCAAACTCCAATTGTAATTGTAACCATTCCTATGATAGAGTAATCAATAAATTTTTATACTATAGACTTATTTTATAATATGTGTTGCATCCCATGTAATGTGTTGCTGAAGCATATTTCTTGAATTGAATGCATTTTCAGAGGCACGGATTGATTTAGGCAAGAGTACGATTGATAAGGAAGTGGTGGAGAAGGTCAGTTGCAGTTATGCTTCTGTACATCTAATTGTCTTTAGACAAGTTAAATATTTGTGTGATGCAATTAACCTATAGTGAACTTCAACACAAGTGTGCGTGGTTTTAGTTTTCTAAAAACTGAGTTCTTTTATTTTTGGTATTTTTTTTTTGTTTTTAGTAAATATTTTTTAAATTTTAAGCATTTTTTTTTTACTTTTTTAGATGCACCTTACTTAAATGTATCTAAAAAGTAAAATATTTGTAAAAAAATATTTTAAAAAATAATAAATACACAAATACAAAAAATATACTGAATTTTTGTATTTAGTATTTAGTGAATTTTTTAAAGATTTTTTTCACGAAATTATACTTTTTAAGTGTATTTGTATTTATGTTAAATTAAAAAATTTGCTTAAAATATTAAAAAAATTCAATAAAAACAAAAAAAATATGGAAAACAAGAAAGAAGAATTTTCTGAAAAATGTTTTCAAAAAAATGGAAACAAACATGGTTATCTTTCAAGGTTAGTATTTCATTCAGTGGTTCTATGTTTTGCTTCTGATGTTGCCGGAGTAACACGGTTTTGTACTCCAATAAGGATGTTATGTTGATCTTTCTCCTTTATAATGCACATTGGAAGTTGGATCGTGTATTATGGTTTACTTTTTAACCAGGTATGGGACAGAATTGCTCCTGGTTTAGACTCCCAATTTGATTCACCTTATACAATTCCAATTATTGCACCGCGCCCTCTGCTGATCTTAAATGGTATGTCGATTTCTTGCACACCAATCGTCAAAATATATGGACTAGGTTCTTGGTTTTAGAAGCGAAGAACATGTTTGTACCGGAACATTCTTTTTGACAAACAGGCGAAGATGATCCACGTTGCCCAATTGAAGGTCTGGAAAAACCCACATCAAGGGCCTGCAAAGCTTATGAGGAGACCCATTGTCTGGATAATTTCAAGGTATGGAATTGTGTTTTTTTGTTAAAAGTGCTTGTGGTCACAATAACATTCCGTACTTTTTAAGTGTGCATAAAGCTTAGTGTAAAATTTTCCAGTTCTATGATGAATTCCACAAATATTGCAGCTCCTAAAATCCTAGGAATCCATCAAATAATCCACCCCCTCCATCCATCTCTCTCTCTCTCTCTCTCAAGCAACTAGGAAATGTAAATGCAACAACATCTAACCATCAAATCCATGGTTTCTCTGTTGAAATGATCATTCCTTTTCAAAATTCTTGGTTCTAACATGTGATCATTTTTTTTATTCTCGACTTGCAGCTGATAGCACAACCTGGAATAGGGCACCAAATGACGTCATCGATGGTGAAAGAAGCCAGTGATTGGTTTGATAAGTTCCTCAAGCAAGAATGGCTCGTCACTAGGAATATTGTATAGATGTAAAATCAATATTTGTTATATGTCAGATGTAAAATGGATGTTTGTATCTCAATTCAAGAATTGATGAATCCTTTATATATGAAAGTTTAATTTGTGGTAGAAATTTCTGTAAGCACACTGTGCAATTCTCCCTGAAAATAATAATAATCAATCATTATCTGGCGAGAAATGCTGATTTAAGAACTGTTATTTCAATAAATAACTATTTTTCTATTGGCTTACCATCAGGTTAATATTCCAATAATTAAGTACACATCCAGAATCAGAGAGAGAAAGACCAGCAGAACTAACAATTACAGTTTTGTTTTTCTACATAGAAAGTTCATTTTGATTTTGTATGTGTGTTTTCATCACAATCATTTATGCACACCGTATGACAAAGCACTAATAGGAGACAAATGTGAAATGTTAATTCAGCTCTTCTTGGGCATAGCCGCAAGCCTCGTGTACATCCTTGCCATGGACTGGTATCCTCGGATATCACCAGAACGGAGAAGATTGCCTATGCAAAACCAGCAGTGACCAAATTAGCACGACAGACAAAACAAGTGTCTAAATGGAAATAAGAAACAAAAATATTCAATAAATGAACACAACTATCCATTTGTGAAACCCACAAGAAAATTCCCATGTTTTACAGGAAGTATGTGGTAGGTTCAACTGTATCGGTTCCCTCTAATATATTTGAAAAGAACCCAAAAATATTATGGGATAAAAGCATTGCACCAACTATACCTGAATCACAATTTAGAGGGCTATCCGGTTCTGGATGGGCCATCAAAGCAATTATAGCCCTACAGACAGACTGGATTGTCCAAGCTGGACTCCATGCATTCTTCAAGATATCGAGACAAATCTCTCCTGTCTGCAAGGGAGAAAACAACCAAGAGTATGAATAACTGATCAATCATTTCAGAAATACTGCTTTCAACATTAGTTTTTGGTTTCATCATAAATAAAGCCCACAAGAAGGTGAGCCGCCTAGCTTGTTAAACCAACCAGAAGGTAAAATCAAAGTGCAAGTACATTGTGCTGTTCATTTTGAGATCCAAGAATGAAAGGATTTATTTGGTATTATTTTCATTTTTTGTGTTTTCATAAACAAAACCAATGAAAATGAAATCTTAATATCATTTTCATTTTTGTGCGCACCAAAAATTCAGAAAACAACTAAAGTATTTCCTAAAAAATTGGGGTGCTTTCAAAAAATATTCAGAAAAAAGTTCGCAAACAAATTTCCAGTGTTATCCATTTATTCTGTTTTCGAGAACAAAACACATAATATGACCACGAGTATGACTTGCTATGTGTTTTGTGGACTCCAACCTTTGGAATTGGATTTGAAGGTTATCTTAGTAAAAGATGTCTCCAATTCCAAATCCAAGCATGCGCTCCATCTTTTCAAATGCAACATTCAGGATTTATTTAGACAAAACTCAAGATTATTCAATTGGAAAAGGAAAACTATTAAGAATTTATATGGATGCTTTTGACCAACTCTAGAAATTGCTTTGCCAAGGCCATTCCCAAACATAAAACTGGTTACAACCCTTCCCCAAAGTTCCAGTCTTTCAACAAGATTATTAAGCAGGTAAGAATAAAAAGAAGAGGAGGAGAATCAAGACCTCATTGCTTTAAGCAGGTTCACAGAAAAAATAAATAAAATAAAATAAAATCATTGCTTATCCTTCAGAAGAGCTTTTTCAGCCTAGTTTTGCAAATTTCTACCATTTTGTTCCCTTTGTTAACCACATCAATTGTCCAGATAACTAGTATTCCACATTGATGATTCAATGACACTGTAAGATCAAATTCAAAATGGCATCCATAAATGCAATGTGATATCATTGTTCTGGTGCAGGGGATGTACAGCATATTTAGGTCTGGTAGCATTGAGCAGACACCCTTGAACATAGAATAAAGGGCAAGACAAATTTGTACGAAATTCCAAAAAACACAAAACATAGTATAGATAGAGACAGAAATGAAAGGACTTTCGTTTGCAACCCTTTTGCCATTTCAAAATACAAGAAATAGATATTACATTAAGAAAAAAATGCATGCCAAAAAGATCATTAGAGAGTTTCATACCTTGAAATGCACATTTGGATGAAATATTTTGGTTAAGAACCGCACTTGAGGAGGTTGCAGAGGATACTGCTCCGGGACAGAGAAAGCAAGCTGGAAAACGCCACCCTCAAAAGGAGTTTCAGATGGACCCTGGATACAGAAGAAAATCATGCAACAGCATAAAACAATGGACTCATCACAACAAAATCTACCTTGATCAGAGCAGTCCATTTAAATATGTTGGAATCATCACAGGCTAGCTGAATATCTGGGTCAGCTACTTTCTCTCGCTGCACCTCTTTGTATTCCTTGAAAAGCCTTGCCCTTGATGCCTGCATTCAGCACAAAACCACAAAGTTTACCCAGATAAAGTGAATTCTAAGCACATCTTATAAATAAATAAAAGCCACAAGAAACAAATGAAAATGTACATTGATGATGGGTGTCAAATTAATCGTGATTATTCAATCAGTCTCAGCAGATAAATTAAGTGTCAAAATTGGAGTCTGTCTCAATGATGGATCGTGAATCAATAAAAAAAATGATAAAACCATAAGGATTGACATAAAAGCTTCAATAAAATGATAGAAGGTTCATCAATTAAAGTTTCAGAAGCTTAAGAACTGAGACTTTCAGCAGTGTTTCCTTTTCAACTTTCACAAATCTAACCCAAATTATGCAAAACAAAAAACAATGACTACCACAATAACCATTCTTGCTTTCAACACGAAATAATCAGAAGTATCATCATTAATTCAGTGGTGTTCCTTTCAAATTTTTACAAATCTAACCCAAATTATGCCAAAAAAAAAAAAAAAAAAAAAACACCGACAATAATCACTCTTGCTTTTCGACGTGAAATAATAAAAACAAAAATATTCTGAAGTAGCAACCCCAATTGCACATCTGAATAATCAAACCAACAAATAGTTGTAAACCCTGCTAAACAGAAACTAACCTGCATTATGACTCAGTATACTCAAAAGCTCCGCAAAATCTGAAAAAGCCACTCAATAGCTACATATATGAAGAATAGGAGAGAGAAAACATATTAAAATGGAACAAAAATTGAAACTTTCGAACAAACCATTCCAAACCCTAGACGATAGCAAAATTCAAAACTTTTCCATCGTTTAACTCCTTGTTTTCCCGGAAACCAAACAAAGCAGGATCCTTGATGGATCAACAAAAGAACAAATACAACTATATAACTAGAAATCTCATCTCACCTGTGAAATTTCAAAAATCGATTTGAGGAGAGAGAATGACTGAAAGAAAACCCTAGATTAGATTAGATTAGGTCGTTTACCATTATTGCCGCGACCGAGCTATTTGACGACGTCTCTTTTAACGTCAGTGTCCAAACTAAAGCAGTCGCTGTTTCTTTGTTTGTCTGTCTTTCTTATTCACCGATTAATTAAACTCCATAACCAAACATAACAATGAATGTCAACGCTTGTTCTAACCGTCTAGATTTTCTTTTCAACAAACCTGGTGTTAAATTCATTCAATTTGACCAAAATTAGCACCAATATTGGACCCAACCAAAGTTGATGCTTTAAATTTCCTTCCTAAACTCTCAATTACTAGGGTGAGCATGATCTGAATTGATTTGATTTGGTCTTACAATTAAGACTAATTTGTTATCTTTCATAAAAATTAAAACCAAATCAATTCATTTAAATCACAAAATCAATTCGGACCAAACCATTTAAATACGGTTCAGCTCGGTTTGGAATCACAGTGTTACATTATTTGTTCATAAAGAAAAATCATATAACATTTTTATTTTAACATTAATTTGCTTATAATTTTTCAAAATATAAACATGCATATTGTTTCACAATTACCGTAAACAAACATAATATCTAGTACATAAACATATTGTTCAATATGAATGGGTTGTTTGGGATGTTCTAAATAAGTACACTTTTTGACTTTTTATAAAATATGGATTGGGTTTGAAATGATGTGGTAGAGAGGCGATGTGACTTAAATAAAATTATGTGACTTAAATAAGATAGTGACTTTTTGACTTTTTAAATTTTTTAGGACACCCCAAATAAGGCCTAAGTATAAAATTCTATCAAACAAACATTTTGACTCCGTTTGGTAAGATTTTCTAACTATGATTTGAGAATATGAGTTGTATTTTGAGTTTGTGTGTTTTGAAATTATGATTTGAGTGTAGAAAATTTTTTTGATTATGATTTTTGAATAGAGTGTTAAATTGAGTTTTGAAAATTTGATTTGACATGTGAAGTAAGAAAATTTGTTTAGTTATGAGTTTTGGAAAGAGTTTTCAAAACTTAATTCAAGTTGTTATAACTCATAACAAAACACATTACTTTCCCACTATTCAAAATTCTGATGAACACTCATGACCAAACTCTTTTTAAAATTCAATTAAAAAAAATTGTTATTAACAAAAAATAATATTAATCAAATTTTTAATTGAAAATACTACAAAGGAAATAATATTTTTTCAAAATAAATATTCAAAAAATTTAAATCATAAATATTTAAATAATTTAAATAATCTAAAAAATTTAATAAGTAAAAAATTAAAATAAATATTCAAAAAATTTAAATCATAAATATTTAAATAATTTAAATAATCTAAAAAATTTAATAAGTAAAAAATTAAAATAAATATTCAAAAAATTTAAATCATAAATATTTAAATAATTTAAATAATCTAAAAAATTTAATAAGTAAAAAATTAAAATAAATATTCAAAAAATTTAAATCATAAATATTTAAATAATTTAAATAATCTAAAAAATTTAATAAGTAAAAAATTAAAATAAATATTCAAAAAAATTAAATCATAAAAATTTAAATAATTTAAATATTCAAAAAATTTAAATAATTTAAAATATTTAAATCTAACAAAAATTAAAATATTTTTAAAATATTTAAAAAATTAAAATATTAATTTGAATTAAGTTTGAAAAGAGTTTTGAATTATGTGTTTGGTTATGAGTTTTGAAAAGTAATGATTATATTTTGAATTGAGTTTTGAGAAATAAGTGTAGAATTATGATTTGAAAGCTCAAAACAAACATCACACTCAAATCAATGGGTGAAACTAAAATTTGAGAGGCTTACCAAACGGAGCCTTTGCCTACGTTTAGTTGTGTTTTGTAAATGTGATTTGAGAGTATGAATTGTATTTTGAGTTCTTAGATTGTAGAATTATGATTTGAGTGTAGAAAATTTGTTTGATTATGGTTTTTAAATAGAGTGTTGAATTGTGTTTTGAAGATGTATTTTAAATTAAGTTTTGAAAGTTTGATGTGACATGTGAAAAGTGAAAATTTGTTTGGTGATGTGTTTTGAAAATAGTTTTCAAAACTTAATTCAATCAATAATTTATCATCAAACACACAACTCATATATCGATATTGTAGACACCCCATTTTTGACCGACTTTAAGACTCAGACGTCACCGATTGAGCACTCGGTGATAGTGCATATTGCGCTCGTTCTGAAGTTTCAGAGTCTCGGCTGCGAGCCTTGCCTCCGGACTTCCGGACTCTTTTGTACTTTGTCTCGGTTTGCGAACCAAGTCCCGTTTCCTCTGTTTTCTCTTCCCGAAGGGAGGGAGAGGTCTCGTAGACCATCTCTCAGTGGTCGTAGGCTATGTTTCGTTGTCGTAGGCCATTTTTCCCGTTTGGAGCCCAGTTTCCAGTTTTCGGAGCCGTCGGCCGTGTGCCTCGGTTCGAGACCGCTTAATTACCTCCGATTGCTCCGGTTTTTGGCACACCCCTTATTTCCTTCCTTTAGAGGGACACTGTGGCCCGGGAGACCATCTTCGTGGTCATACACCACTTTCGGTGCCTAACAGCCTGCTTTCGGGGCCCCGAACAGCGCGTTTTGGCCCCCGAACCTTTGTTTTGCATCCGTTTTGGTCCATTTTTGGTAGAGACCCTATTTTCATTGTTAGGAAGATGGTAGGATGGTGGGAGGCCACCTTTTTTCCCTGAAAAACCAGTTTTCTCATTTTCTCTCTCCAAAAGCCGATTTTTCTGATAGAAAGTTGGGTTTTCTCACTTCTGAGCCACAATTTCTGGTTTTTCACACCATCATTATGTTGTGCTCATCTGGGAGGCTACCAATATGGGTAGGCCGACCAGTAATTCTTCTTGACCCTTTTGAACCCCTCTAAAAAGCTAGTTTTTCTCTCTCTCTTGTGTCAATTTTTCTGATTTTTCACCACAGGGCTGTGTTCTACTCATCTGTGAGGCCACTTTTCTGGGTAGGCCGACCAGCAATTTTGCTTGACCCTTTTGACCTCTGGTCGGCCAACCAGGGGGAGTGGCCGCCCGGCCACCTTAGCTGGTCGGCCAGCTTTCTGCTTTTTGCTCTTCTCAAGTACAACACAACTGTGCCAACTGTGAAGCATTTGACCCACTGTCCGAGGGTTTTGTCCTTGTTTTAGTCCTTAAAAGAGGGTTTTGACCCCTTTGCTTGGTTGGTAGGAGGAGTTTGACCCTTTTGGTCAAGTTTCTTGAGGAAGCTTGACTCTTTTGGTCTAGCTTCCTTAAAAAGCTTGACCCCTTTGGTCAAGCTTCTTTTAGAAGCTTTGAACCTCTCTCTTGGCTTCTCCAAGAAGCCTTACTTCTCTCCCTCTATATAACCAACCCTCCATCTCATTTTGCAAGGGTTAGAAAATTTTGGTTAAGGTTTATACATTCCATCCTCCATAGCTCTCTTCTCCAAAGCTCAAAAGGCCATCCTTGGTCATTTACACTACAACTCATAGCCTACCACCTCCACCATCTATTCCAGCCCCTTGAAGCTGATTTTCAGAGGTTGAGAGCTCACAATCTTGGACCAAAAGTCGCTGCATTGCTGTGCTACAAGGATAAGTCTCCATTTTCCCTTTTCTTGCATTCTTTTGCTCCATACCTTAGCCCCTTTTGCTTGCATTTTTGGACTTTGAGCTAAACTGGAAAAGATCTTATTTTGAGCCCCTATTCAACTTTGTTTGAGAACACTTTGCTGTTTGAGGTCATCTACTTCCTTGTTTGCTCAATCTCTCTTTTAAGGCTATTTTTGCATCATGTTTTAGCCTTACTTGTAAGCATTTTAGAGCTTCATCATAAACTAGAAAAAGTCTTGTTTTGATCTTGTAAACATGTTTGTTTAAGGACTCTTTTCTGTTTGGAATCATCTTCTTCCTTGCATGCTTCATTTCTTCATGCTTTGAGCCATGCATGTGAGCATTTGCGTTGGCCTTGTTTTGGCCTCTTAGCCACTGAAATCTAGTGGATTTTCAGTGGCCTTGATGTGTCTTTGAACTCCAAAATCATAGAAGGGTGACCCTCTCACCCCTCATTCTCTTTACTAGCATTGTTGGCCTTCCAAAGGGACCCTATTTTGCATGCATTGAAGTCATGTTTCAGGCCTCATTCTGAGGGTTTTAAGGTCTTCCTAAGCTCTGTCAAGACCCCATTTTGCCATATTTTATGTCTTTGATGTATGTGTAGAGCAATCCTATTCAAGGCCTTTCAAAGGGGCTTTCATTTGCATGTTTCTTAGACCAATTTCAGGGCTTATTTGGTGGGTTTTAGGGCTTTCATAACTCATTTACAGAGGTGGTTTTGCCCTTTTGTTTGTCTATCTTGTATGTGCTTAATAACCCCTTGTATGGCCCTCTAAATGAGCTCATCATTTTTGCATGCATTGGTTGTATTTCAATGGTTCTTTAGGCATATTTTGACATGTTTTATTCACTGTTTTTGGCTAGTTTGATGAGTTCTCATACGCTTCATATACATGCCATGTAAATCATGCTTGCTAGCCGAATTTGCATGCTATTTTTGTCCATCATGTTAGTACTTTTTTGCCATGCTTTAAACTAGAAATGTGCATGTTTTGGAACTTCCTTGGCTCTGTCTTTATACTTCATGGCCAAATAATGCTTGCTTTGCATAGTTATAATTCAATACATGTGCCTAGCTTTGAGTTTCGGAGCTTATTTCATGCATCGGGCGCCATATTTTCATGTTTCGAGACCGTTTAGCATCATGTTTCAGTGCTGGAAATTACATGTTTGTATGCCATCTTTTTCATATCTTGCCATGCTTTGGTAGAGTGGCATTTTATGCCTTAGGTTCGGTACTTGGAATTCGTGCATGTGTACATGCATTTCGATTCTCTCATTTTCATCGCATGGCCACCGATGTGAGTGTGGGTAAGGTCCATTCATGTTGGTGTAAGTCCATCATGCATTGTGTATGTCATTTCGGTCCATAGCATTGCGTATGCTAGGTTGCATGTTAGAGCATTGTGTATGCCATGTTACATCGAGCATTGTGTACGCCATTTCATAGCATTCCGTATGCTCGTTTGTATGTTCCTCGCATTGTGTATGCCATCTCATTTGCATCGTGTTTGGGATAGGAGTTAGCCCAAGCACGGGAAACGAGGTACGTTTCATACTCCGAGTGACAGAACGTGT